CCATTCCCAAGCCTGGCTCTTGGGAAGCTCTTCCCCTCCCACAGCCGGGATGGAGCAGCGTCCCATGAGGTATTTCCGTGGATTTGGAAGCCAAATCCTTTCTTTCCAGAGCATGTGAGCCCTCCCAGGATCCAGGAGGGGAGGGGCAGGACAGGGAGGGCAGGATCTGTAGCACCTTTGGGGGCCGGCGGGATTTTTCTGGGGCTGCCTTAAAATCCAACGTGGAATTCAAGGACAGGGATCATCCTGCAGGGAGAGCCCAAGGTCCTGGCAGCTCACAGGGCACTCACAGGGCACCCACCCCGATCCACAGGCCCCACAGGATGGAGCAATTCCTTGAATTTAGAGTGCAGGAACTCGGTCCTTTAAACACAGGCTTCTCCAGAATTCCCAGCATCGCTCGGAGCTCCAACATCCACGAAGTTCCTGCTCAGTGGCTGCAGGGGATGAAGCAGCAGACCAGGATTTGAAGGGGGGGGGGGTGTTATTTGTGCAAGAGCCACCACCTCTCCCAGCTTTGCTGTGGATCCATGGATGTCCCAGGGAGGGAAGGGAGCTCCCAGAGGGCAGATGCTGTTCCAGAGGACCCTCAGGGAGCTGCTCCTTGCTCCCAGCTCCTCCTCGGGATCCTTGGCAGCTCCAAAGGAAGCCACTTCATTCCCAGCTTCTGGAATCAGCCAGAGAGAGGCTGGAAGTGCACATCCCATGGCTCTGCAGGAAGCACCTTTGCTCCACAGGCAGCTCCAACAGTTCCAGCTTCTCCACCTTCCTTCCACTTCCCGGGGGGCTCAGGGGGGATCTTCCAGTGTTTTCTCAGGGAATGGCCCTTCCTCAGAGGAGCAGCACCAACCATTCCCTTGGGATCCAGGACATCCCAACGGCTCAAACACTCCTCCTTCCCCGTGGGACCATCCTGCAAATCCAGCTGCAAAGCTCAGCTTCCCAAGGCTGGGTTTGGCTCCCTCCTCCCGGATCCTGGGGAGCTCCAAGGTTATTCCCAGAGGTTATTCCACCGATCCTTCTGGCTCAGTTTGCCTCCAGCAGCTCCCCAGGCTGCATCCTCCCCTCTCCGTGGGGATCAAAGGACGGTCCCACCTCGGAGCAGACGGATCTTCCCAGAGAGTGTCCCCTCCTCCCTCCATCTCCTTCCCCACCTCCCAGTTTTCCAAGGCAGGGTCAGTCCCCACGCAGTCACTTTCTCATGCTTTTCGAAAACAAAAAACTGAAAGACCTCGGAAAAAAAAAAAAAATAATAAAACTTTCCCCAAACTTTGTAAATAGTGCCGTGACATTCCTTGTTCTGCCGGGAGGCTCGGCCGCCTCCGAGACGCCTTTTCCCAGGAGCCAAGGCTCTGGATTCCTGCTCTGCTGGGCTTCTCGGGAATCTCGGCCCCCTCTTCTCTGTACAAAAGGGCTGGAGAGCAGGAGCAGCAGCAGGGGAGTGTGGGGGGCTCCTTCCCACCACGGCCTGGCTCGGGCTGCGGGATGGCAACAACCAAATTCCTGGGGGGAAAGAGAGGGGAGAGGGATCAGCACAGGCTGGGGGGGAACAACCTGGAGGCTGGTTCCCCTTCCCAGGGAAAGCCTGGAATGGTAAGAGACCCTGAAACCTTCTGCCCCTTCCCAAGGAAAGCTGGGAATGGTAAAAAAACCATGAAGCCTTGTTCCCCTTTCCAAGGAAAGCTTGGGAATGGTGGAAGAACATGAAGCCTTGTTCTCCTCCCCAGGGGTAAAAGACCATGAAACTTTGTTCCCCTTTCCAAGGAAAGCTTGGGAATTGTAAAAGACTATGAAGCCTTGTTTCCTTTCCCAAAGAAAGCTGGGAATGGTAAAGGACTATGAAGCCTTGTTCTCTTTCCCAAGGGT